CTTTCACCATTATTATTTTGTATTTACTTGAACGATCTTCCCTCCGTATCTCGTGACTCCAGCCTTGAATCGTACGTTGATGACTCAAAAGTTCTCCTCTCCTTCCCATTACGTCAGATTGATGCAGCAATTGCAAATCTCGAGCAAGACCTACACAGAGTTGCAAGTTGGTGCTGTGAAAACCACCTTTTAATTAACAAAGTACATGATGATTGGAACAAGGCAGATGATGAGCAAACTACCTACAGACACATCAGTTTCATTCTTGGGCAAGTCTCTCAACTCATTAACGCCCAATGCACCCTGAGATTGACAAGTGGGTAACGGACAATGCGCCCGCATGCGCCCTCAAATGACACCTCAACTTGCGGGCATGATATTTGAGCATGTGTTCATCGGGTTGCCTAGCAACGGATACAAAAATAGAACGTGAAATTCGAGCTTTTCAACGGTGTATCATGCAAGAAAATTGGTCAGAAACTCGCAAAGTTTTTCAAGTTTAAAACCTTAGTTTTTCAAAAATAATGAATGGAGAAAGTGTTGCAAAGAAGGATTTTACAGCAAGTTTTAAAAGCGAAAAAAGAACAGGTTTTCAGATGATATACAACGAAAATTTGCCATGAAAGGAAAGCGAATGTATTGACGTTTTGGGCCAAATTTTTCTGTGAACCTTGCACAAGATTTTCAGCCAAAAAGATGAGGATTTCTCCAAACTTTATTAAAAATAGAAGTCGGAAATCACAAGAAAGATGAACACGGAACACAAGTGAGCAGATACGATTTTTGAAAGGGTATTTTTGAGTAGAAATATGCGATCAAACACTCACAAAATTCAACCGCATTAATGTTGGTTGAATCTAGTTTAAAGTTATCTTTTTAGACAAACTGTTTATGCAAATGTGGGCACAATTTCGACTGTTTTCGTGACCCCATTGTTGGTCTTCTTGTTCAAGTTGTTATTTTAGCTAAAGTATGTTTCAAACGACACCAGATTGTGCGTACGTGGCCTTTTTTGACCTTTTTGGCAAGAATACTTCGAGTATTAAATTACACTAAATAAGTAGGATATTCCAAAGTCACTGTTATATCTGTTTTCATCAATTTAGTCTTAAAATGACAACTCGTTTCAGACATTGTGGTTTAAAATAAGTGTATTGAATAAACACGCTTGCTTGCCGCGTGCGAATTCTCAAAAGTCCGCACCTGAGTTGTAAAGCTTTCAAAATGCTTTTTTACTGGTTTTTATATCCCCTATAAAACCTTAAATCGATAAAGCAGATAATTTTGATGAAACATCATTTTCTAGTAACTACACATTGAATCAGAAGAAAAAGTTATCAAAATAGGTTGCGACAGTTGTTTGGCAAAATGTCGCTTCTCTCTGAAATGGCTTCCTTTGCGGGAAGCCATGAAATTGAAGTCCTAACAAAAACTAACCTTAGCAGTTTTTTGGGCCCATTGCTCACTTATTTATCATGAAATCGCTTCACTAGAACATTTTTAATACTGTCTATGGAAAACTTTGTAATTTTCTGAACTAAAAGTTTATGGTTTCGAGGTGTTTATTTTATAAAATAGCACGCGCGACAAAATGGCACTTTTGTGGTTTCTCACGTCTGACAAACAACCAAAAATGAAAGTCCTTATTTCACCTTTTTATAGCTATGTGGAATACCTGAATATTAGGTTATCTTTTTCATGTGAGTATATAGATAACATTTCTACACAATAGTCCTTATGAAGGCTTATTTCAAACTAAAAAAAAGCGATTGTTTTTCAGAGCCAGACTTCAAAAGAGAATGCGTGTCTGACATTTTATAGCAGCCTACATTGGCGTGCAAAATAATTTTGGCTAAAAACCGTTGCTTTTCCAACAAAAACATGAGAAAATTGAGCTAAAAGTCTTACCTGATGTATGTTTAAAGTGTTTTTCTTTTTCTGGTGTTTTTCAGTGCTTTGAGTAGAGAGGTTAATAGCTTTTGGTTTTGTCACCACAATTTGCCTTTGAAAATGTCGGCTGTCATTGTCTGTTGGTTAAAAACACCTCAGAAAATTCCTATTTTCTACCTTCCCATCCTTGGTTTATATTGAAAATAAATAGATTCTAGTACCATATGTCCTTATAAATATATTGGAAGTAATTAAAAACTTGAAAGATGTACAAGCACTGTGTTTTGGCTTGCACACTTTGTTGAATTTGAACACTTAAGTTACTGTTCTAAATTTCATGTTGTAAACATCTTGCCCAAAAAAGCAAAGGAGTATATTTTATAATTTTTGATCATTTTCTAATTCATATCCCAATAGATGAAAATTGGTTATAAAATAGATATGGGCTAGATTATAGAATACCCGTCCATTTCTGATATTATTTTGGGGGGATACGGTGATACGCAGTGAATGAAATGACGTAATTATTCGAGTGTTTGGGTAAATATTAAGTTTCAATGATACGGGGATACGGTGATATGCAGTGAAGGAAATTACGTAATTATTCTAATGTTTCGGTATCAAAATAAACGGGGAATCGTTAATCAAATAATTAATCTATATTTTCAATAATAAAGGGTTATGAATATATTGTATTTCTCCTTCTTAATAAACCCCGCACAAATATTACTCGTATATTTTATTTCTCGTTCTCAATAAACCCCGCACAAAATATTACTCATAATTATATTGTATTTCTCGTTCTCAATAAACCCCGCACAAAATATTACTCGTATATTGTATTTCTCATTCCCAATAAACCCCGCACAAAATATTATTCATATATTGTATTTCTCGTTCTCAATAAACCCCGCACAAAATATTACTCATATATTGTAGTTCTCGTTCCCAATAAACCCCACACAAAATATTACTCATATATTGTATTTCTCGTTCTCAATAAACACCACACAAAATATTACTCATATATTGTATTCCTCACGTTCTCAACTAAACCGCGCACAAAATATTACTCATATATTGTATTTCTCCTTCTCAATAAACCACTAATAGTAATATAACCACTCAGCACATCATTTCTACATTGGTACTACCTACACTGGTACAGACAGTTTGAGTTATTGCATTTAGCATACAGTACAATGAATTGAATAGTCAACACGATATTGATATCTAAACTTGATTATGTGATTATTAGACATTTTACCTTTTTGAACTGATTGCTCCAATATTCGAACTTTTTCCTTCATATTGATGTACTTCTTATGTAGTGTTCTATACATTTCCTTCCAATTTGTCACATCACCACAAGCAGATGGTGTATATGGAGGCGGAGTTGACTGGCCCTTTGATGGTGCATGAACTCTAGATACCGGTATTGCTGGTGATAAGTTTGATGGACGGCTGAACAGAAGTGGTGAGTTTGAAGAACTGGATTGAGGAGTGTGTGCTGTGAAAAGGCTCTGTTCGAAAAGGCTTGGACTGTCAGGAATCTTTTCTTCATCATCAGTTGTCTCAAGCTCAGTTGTCTCATTTTGGAACTCATGATCATCACCGTCATATTTGCTATGTGGGGATGCCTAAGATAGAATAAGATCATAGTAACTACATAATTATACAGTAAGCTATCCCATTCAGCTGCCAAAGTGATTCACTGGGGACCTGTCTCACATATAACATTATATGAAGTTACATCAAATTTAAAGAACAGTTCAAAGTAATTTCAGCAGTGTGTTGTCAGTGACAAGTTTTCTCGGGTTTGTCCTTAACCCATTGAGTGGCAGCACCGTCCACTTGACAAGTAAATTATTCTGGTCTTAGAAAGAGTAAAATACTAAAGTAGGGCACATGAGGGTGCATTGGGTAAAACTTTCCAGGTAAATAATTAAACCACCATACTGTACTTCATGAAACATGAATATTTGTTTACCCCTTTAAAGTTTTACCTCTTTTTCACTATTACTTTTTATACACACTTTTCCAGATTGTTACGTCCATGGCAGTAGTACAGAGGTTACCTCAATTGGCACTTCAACTGGAGGAAGACTCCCCAGCTGAAATAATTTATTCCAAGTTAAAGTTTGGTGTTCAGAGAAAGTAATTAAGTCTTAATTAAGGCCTGTTTCATGTGTTATAATTTTTATTGACAACATTTTAAATTACTTTTAACTTCCAGATATGTCTTTCTTTGCCGAAATATGTTTCGACTGGGTGCAGCGACCAGGTATATTCCTGACTTGAATAACAAGGCAAGGTTACAAGAGCTTCTTGGCACTACTCCCCTTGGTACTTTCCAAAAGTTCAAGAGAATTAAGAGTGGAGAACAAGTTTTCCACAGTAGGGCATATTTCCGTGTAAAGAAAAGGAACAGCTACACTGTGGTATACCGTAAAATGGGGTGAATTGGGACACTGGTGTGAATTGGGACACATATTTATAGTAATTTAACTTTAAATTGTTTATAAAGAATAAATGAGAATGGCAAAAAAAAGTATTTTTTAAATAAATAGTATACATTGAACTGTTACACCTCATTAACAAGATTTAGTTTAAGTCCATCTATAATGCAATAGCAAAGAATATCACTTGTTGGTAATTGTTACATTTTTAGTTTGTCTCTAAAAATTACATTATTTCTTCAAAAGCATGCGATCTAACTTCGAGGTTTCAGCCATTTTGAATGTGCCCGCACTTGATGACAAGAATGTGACCAGGGGTTTTCTTATTCCTCGTATAAAACTTGGTTTAAGCCCATTATTAGATAAGTGGGGACAATCAGGGGTGAATTGGGACAATTAGAACACATACATTTAAGTCCCATGTTGACCGTTGTAAAGTGGTGGCAGCCATTCTTGATCGCCATTTTAACATTTTTGAGTGTTTTAAGCTCAATTTTAAACTTTCTTTTAAATGTGTAAGTGATGCGAACTTATAAAAGGGTTGTTGGATCAAAGAAAAAACGCTATAGAGACTATAGGAACCAATCTCTTGCCAATGCCATTGAGGCAGTAAAAAATGGAATGACTGCGTGCTGCAGCAAAAACGTTCAACATCCCAAAATCCACATTAAATCGCAAAGTTCGTGGAATACAAATTAAATCCCCTGGTGGACAAACATGTCTCACTGCTGTGGAAGAAGAGCAGATTGTCCACCACTTGGACATATGTTTCGTAGTGAAGTCTTACTTGGATATGTCAAACCGCACAGTAACAAGGTTTAAAAACAACTTACCTGGTGAAGATTGGGCAAGGAGTTTTATAAAGCGGCACGCAAAACAAATACGTCCTCGCGTATGTCAAAACATTAAAACATCTCGTTCAGAAATTAATAAAGGTGAGTTTGTTAAGTATTTTGACAATTTAAAAGATGTGGTAAAAGAGGTACCAGCAGACAAAATTTTGAATTATGATGAGACTAACCTGGCGGACGACCCAGGTCAAGAAAAGCTGATCTTTAAACGTGGAAAAAAGTATCCCGAGCGTGTGATGAATTACACCAAAGGCAACATTAGTATTATGTTTTGTGGCACAGCAAGTGGAGAATTGTTACCAGTTTATGTGGTGTACAAGAATGTACACATGTGGACCACATGGACTACTGGTGGTCCTAAATATGCTCGATATAACCGTTCAAAGAGTGGGTGGTTTGAAGCCATTAGTTTTAATGACTGGTTTCGAACAGTAGTGTTACCTTGGGCTAGAAAGAAAGAAGGCAAAAAAGTTGTAATTGGTGATAATCTTTCCAGTCATTTTTCACCTGATATCATCAGATTATGTGAAGAAAATAACATTTCTTTTGTGTGTCTAGTCCCAAATAGCACACATTTAACCCAGCCTCTTGACGTTGCCTTTTATGGCCCACTTAAAAGAAAATGGCGCAAAATTTTAAAGCAGTGGAAAATATACAATCCAAGCTTGACATCACTCCCAAAGAATGAATTCCCTCGACTCCTGAAAGAATTAGTTGAGTCCCTGAATACCGCTGGCTTCCAAGCATGTGGTATTTACCCCCTAAATCCAAATGAAGTTTTAAAAAATATGCCCCAAAGTTCTGAAGATGCATCAATCAACATCTCAACAGCTGTGATTGAGCAATTGAAAAAAATGCGAAATCCAATCCATGAAAAGCCAACCCCTCGGCGGAAACAAATTGTAGTTGAGCCTGGAAAAAGTGTTTCCTTAGATGACTTGACATGTGATAAAGATGATGCTAGTGAGCATGATTCAGAGGAAGAGTCTGACAGTGATGAATCTCAATCTGAAGGATCCATCATCAGTGATTTAAGTGATCAACACAGGTTGTCGACACGCATGGAAGATTTGAAACCATTGGAACATAATGATATCAACATTGGACAATGGGTGAAAGTTATCCATGAAGAAGAACTATTTGTTGGAAAAGTGTTAAAGAAAACTGGAGGTGAAACCTTAGTACAATGTTTACAGAAGCCTTTTGGGATCAGAGAGCCCCAAAGCCTTGAGAGGGAAAATGATTCAGTCTATTACCAAAATGTATATGAAGCCAATGTAACCCCTCAATTACAAAAAGTTGGTCGTTGTTGGAAGTACAACTGTTAAGATAACTTTTGATTCTAGACAAGAAATTAAGGATATTTTAGTGTCCTGTGATTTTATCAGTTTATCAGTTGACTTTATCAGATTGATATCAGTTTATTTTATCAGATAGATTTTATCAGTTGATTACTTAATAGCAGTGTCAATGAGTTTATAACTTTGCATATAACTGGGCAGTTTAGATTTTCCTTTGATAATACTGTAACAATTGTTGTGGCATTTGTGCTTAACTTTAATAAAATGTTACAATAGAATATAATTCTTACCAAGCAGGGTTAGTGTACTTTTTGCCTACAAATTGGTATAAAGACTGTGGAGTAAAATTCTTGTTAACATTTCATTTAAATTTGTCTCCATCCTCCATATCAGATAGCATGAATTTCAGTACAACTATTTTATATACAATGATACGTATTTCTCAGGTCACCTCATCATTATCCAAAAGGTACCAGACCTGGTACAAAATAAAATCTGATATATTTTGCTAGTGGTCCCAATTCACCCCAGAGTGGGGTGAATTGGGACAACCAAAATATTTAAAAAAATAATTCCATGATTAGTTTACAACTAAATATTATTTGTTGCTTAAACTAGATGCAAAGACTTGTTAAAATAACATTTAAAGATTTCTCTCTCATAGCCTTTTAATTTTGAATAATCTTTAAACAAGTGAAAAGTGTCCCAATTCACCCCATTCCACGGTACGAGGAAGAAACTGGACAGTTTGAGGCTTATGGCCAAATCCAGATAGATTTTATCAGTTGATTACTTAATAGCAGTGTCAATGAGTTTATAACTTTGCATATAACTGGGCAGTTTAGATTTTCCTTTGATAATACTGTAACAATTGTTGTGGCATTTGTGCTTAACTTTAATAAAATGTTACAATAGAATATAATTCTTACCAAGCAGGGTTAGTGTACTTTTTGCCTACAAATTGGTATAAAGACTGTGGAGTAAAATTCTTGTTAACATTTCATTTAAATTTGTCTCCATCCTCCATATCAGATAGCATGAATTTCAGTACAACTATTTTATATACAATGATACGTATTTCTCAGGTCACCTCATCATTATCCAAAAGGTACCAGACCTGGTACAAAATAAAATCTGATATATTTTGCTAGTGGTCCCAATTCACCCCAGAGTGGGGTGAATTGGGACAACCAAAATATTTAAAAAAATAATTCCATGATTAGTTTACAACTAAATATTATTTGTTGCTTAAACTAGATGCAAAGACTTGTTAAAATAACATTTAAAGATTTCTCTCTCATAGCCTTTTAATTTTGAATAATCTTTAAACAAGTGAAAAGTGTCCCAATTCACCCCATTCCACGGTACGAGGAAGAAACTGGACAGTTTGAGGCTTATGGCCAAATCCAGTTTTTTCTCCAGCATCGCCCACCCACTCAGCACTACAATCAATCGAATGATGAAGCTGCAGCTTTTGCTGTAATTTGGAAACTGGAGCAGGATGCTGTTCCATTTCAGGATGTGGAATCTGATATTGTTGCCAAGAAACAGACCCTTTATAAATTTGTAAAGTAACAAGTGTAATTGTTTAATTACCCTGGTTGCCAGAGGTTCTTTCGCCTTATTCCCGTATTATTTTACTCTTCTCCTCACATTAAACTGCGAGCAGGAATAAGGCGAAAGATACAAGAACCTCTGGCAACCAGGGTATTAATTGTTCAGTCCTTGATGGACAGTAAGTACTTGTGGATATTATTCAGCTTTTCCATTTCACAACTCATACACATGAATACTGTACAGTACTGTATATTTATCATTCTAAGAATTTTTTCAGCATGTAGGTTGCTGTTGTGTGTCTTGTAAAACCAGATATTTCTCAAACATTTTGGGTTGATCAACTCCTATTAAAGAATGATATCTCCTTGATTTCCTTTCTGTGCTGTTTCTTTTGATTGGTTATGAGCTGTGTGATTCTTGACTTTCGCCATCTTGGATAATTAACGCACAACTCAAAACCCTTTATGACTGATCAAAATTAATATCTTAACCATTTAAGTGGCAATTTCCACCCACATTTTACACTCTTAACACCAGACGATTTTACTTGGGGAGAGTGCTGCCACTGAATGTGTCAATTAAATTAAGCAGGTCCTTTTGGAAGAATTAATACCTCAACACAACGTTCTCCAAAAAATTAAGCCACCATGAGGGGCTTAAAATTACTGAAAATCGTTATTTGTGAGTTGGTCATCTTGATGATCATGAAATACATATTGTCTTATTTGAATTTGTATTTCACTTTTTCAGGTATTTTAGGTTTTCAGTTTTTTTTTATTTTAAGAAAAACACATGTATGTAAACTATCTGCTGATATATATTTGCAGATATCTTATACAGATATTTGCAGATATGTTGACAGACAGTTGATGTACATATCTGCAAAATATCTGCCAATTTCATGCAGATATTTGCAGATATTTTGATGCAGATATTTTGCAGATATGTTGACAGACAATTTACATATCTGCAAAATGTCTGCCATTTTCATGCAGATATTTTGCAGATATTATAGATCTACCTGCAGTTATGCTGCAGAACCTTCGACAGATATGTGACAGATACTTGCAGACATTTTACAGATATGTCAGTTTGGTAAGGGTGTATATATTATGGATCAAGCTACCTAAAGGATGTTATTATTAACACAGTATACTTGGTAACAGTTCCACCTACAAGTAATTTGTCCATTTATTGTGACTGAATTTCTTGCTAATTGGCACATTTGTAAGTGGAGACTTGTAGAATTCTGAATAATCGGCATACTAACACTATGAAATATAAGACAATGTGTTAAAAATATATTAAGTGAAATGAAAACTTTAAATCACATGTAAGTGCACTATATTAGGTAATGTTTCTGACAAATCACACAAATATATTGTAAGTTATGTATATTAGCAGAGAGTAATTTTATACATTGTCACCATTTATGCTTGTAAGATATATGTATCTATAGTTTTTTTCTTACCTCAAAAAATCCACTTCGGTTCACAGGTGGATGAAACGGACCATAGTGGATATTTTGAAGTAAGACAAAAACTATATTCGCTCTATATAGAATAGAGCAATGTTTGTGTTTCATAAACCAATAATTAAGCTATATATAATAATAATATATATGTCAATCATTATATTAGCGTTCTATGTATAATTTTCTTATCATAATAAACTGCCTTTTGAAATGTTCACAATGAAAATGTTTATTTTATATGGTCTGGTTTAGCCTGAACACAATACTTATATTTGCCGGCCTTTTTAATTGTAATCTATAAAACAATGTGCAAATAATGTATGTGTTCAGACTAGGCATTATTTAGGGAGTGGTCATTATTTATGGGGGGGGGGGCATTGGTAAATGGGAAATATAAGGATTGAAAACTTTTTGGACCCCCCTCCAGACTGAAAGGAAATGAAAGGAAACTTTTTGTCCCCCCCCTTGATAAAAGTAGAAACTTTTTTGACCCCCCCCCCAGCAGTTTGGCTGAAACATTAAAAGCAATGAAACAGGTTTAAATTCAAAATGTGAAGAAATTACATTTAATATTCAGTAATCAGTAAAATAAATAGTCGTTTGCAGTGTGACGTTTGACTTGTCTCCCACGGCGTGTAACCTGGGCATCAACTAAACTTTGAAACAAAACAGTTTCGTCATCATCAGAATCTGAATCTTCTCCTGTCTCAATCTCATCTAATTCAAAATCTTCAATAGCCACATCTGAGTCATCACTGTCAATCTCAGCAATAATTTCTTCGGGTGCTTCCATCTCCTGTTCTTCTTCTTCATCATCAATGAATACCATTGGCACATTTATAGCAGCAAGATGCATAACAATAGTTCGAACGTTATCAGCGTTCTTCCCTGTAAGTGGCAAATTATGATGTGCCAGGTATTTGTTCAATTCAGCAACTGTCAGTTTCCCTAGTTTCCCATCTTCTAATAGTTCCTGGCATGCATAATCTTCAAACGACTTGTTCTTCTTCTCAGCTGCATCAGCTTGCCTCGTTCTGGTTCTGATTTCTTTTGCCCACTCTAGCTCCTGCAAGTGTTGAACATACTGGGTGATATATTCCTCCTTGACTATATATTTTTTTGCAAAGGTCTTCACTTCTTCTGGATTGCCAAGTATACGCTTTCCAGCTGCAAAATCCTTACCGAATTGTGCTCGTGGCATATAATCATCAGGATCCCATGGCAAACCAGCATCAGTGTTGATTGGTGTGTTAAACACTGACCTATAGTGATATGAAGGTAATTTCTCATAATCTGGAATTGGCTGTGGAATCCTGTTCATGTGAGGACCAACCCATGGTGTGTTAGTGCAGAAGTCACATAGTTGTCCAGTCGAGGTTTCACATGCTCCTTTCAGATACTCCATAAACAGTTCTCCATATACATAATGATTACCAATGAAAGCATTGATTTTCTTGAAATATGCAGAACCTGGCAAGTTTTTGTTTGTGGAACTACTAGTATTGTTGAATACTCTAAGCTCTTCCTTGTTGAAGAAAAATGATCTTCTGATTTCTGTGAAACCAACCCATGAATAAAACTGCTGAGCACTGGAGCACCGTCCAAGCGATTACTCAAATCATCAGCCACAAGCCATGCGTTTCTCTCCATACAATCTCATTCATGCTTTTCATACTCTTTCATTGTCATGGATGTTATTTCATCACTTGTCATTCCTTCAAATTTTTTGTAATATTCCCATTGAATGGTTTTTCCATCAACAATAGCATCACCTGCAAGATTATTATGAAAAGATACAGAACCTACAGAACAGATCAACTATTGTACAATATTATTGTAGTTTTCTTAATATTTATGGCTTAATTTTTATCGTGATCTGTTATATAAATGGTTTTTAATTAAGGGTTCGTATATACAGTCATATGCATGATTGAATATAGTAGGTCAAAATGTTTTAAGATTTTAATACCAGATGCTGAGTTGGTTCTTTCGGCTTCATTCTGCCCGCTCTCTGCACAAGCTCTGTGTACACGAATTCTGTAGTCTGAACGTTCCAGCCGGGCAAGTTCTGCATCTCGAAACTTTACTGCAAGATTGGAAACCCCAACTCCAGGTCCAGCATCAGTAAAATGTGCAACCCTTGGCCGCGTCTGTCAGAATGCAAAAAATACATACAGTTTAACTCATTAACTGGCAAGCTGTTACAATGTTACCACCCCCCTAAAGTGGCAAGCAATATGGCAAATTCATGATTTAATTCCAAGCTTTCACCAAAATGGCAATATCTCAGAAACTATTGCATAAAAAGTCTGATCTTTTCAATCAAACATGAATGATATATGATTGACCAAATTTAGTTTAGATGACCTTGCATACCTATATATATCATTAGTTTTTTCAGTCAGTATTTTTATTTATCAAGCAGTGACACTTTGTTTTTCATGTCACTCATCACCTAAAGGGGCAATATCTCCATAAATTTATATAAAAACAAAACAAAAAATTCATTTACTAAATTAATACATATCTATATTACAACCAATTTTCATCTTTTGGGATATGAATTACAAAATTATTAAAAAAATTAAAAATTACTTCTTTGCTTTTTTGGGGCATCTTGTTTACAACATGAAATTTAGAACAGTAACTAAGTGTTCAAGTTCAACAAAGTGTGCAAGCCAAAACACAGTGTTTGTACATCTTTAAAGTTTTTTAATTGCTTCAAATATATTTAAAAGGACACATAGTGCTTAAATTTATTTATTTTAATATAAACCAAGGATGGGAAGGTGAGAAAATGGGAATTTTCTGAGGTGTTTTTAACACAGACAATGACAGCCGACATTTTGAAAGGCACTCTGCGGTGACAAAACTAAAAGCTATTCACTTCTGTACTCAAAGCACTGAAAAGCATCATAAAGAGAAAAACACTTTAAATACATGCCAGGTAAGACTTTTAGCTCAATATTTTCATGCTTCTATTGGGAAAGCAACGGTTTAAAAGCCAAAATTATTTTGCGCGCCAATGTAGGCTGCTATAAAATGTCAGACAGGCGGTTTCTTTTGAAGTCTGGCTCTGAAAAACAATCTCATTTTTTGAGTTTGAAATAAGCCTTCATAAGGACTATTGTGTAGAAATGTTATCTATATGCTCACATGAAAAAGATAACCTAATATTCAGGTATTCCACATAGCTATAAAAGGGTGAAATAAGAACTTTCATCTTTGGTTGTTTGTCAGACGTGAGAAACCACATTAGTGCCATTTTGTCGCGCGTGCTATTTTATAAAATAAACACCTCAAAACCATAAACTTTTAGTTCAGAAAATTACAAAGTTTCCCATAGAGATTATTAAAAATGTTCTAGTGAAGCGATTTCATGATAAATAAGTGAGCAACGGGCCCAAATGAACTGCTAAGGTTGGTTTTTGTTAGGACTTCAATTTCATGGCTTCCCGCAAAGGAAGCCATTTCAGAGAGAAGCGACATTTTGCAAACAACCGTCGCGACCTATTTTCATAACTTTTCCTTCTGATTCACGTGTAGTTACTAGAAAATGATGTTGCATCAAATATTATCTGCTTTATCGATTTAAAGTTTTATAGGGGATATAAAAAACAGTAAAAATGCATTTTGAAAGCTTTACAACTCAAGTGCGGATTTTTTTAATATTCGCACGCGGCAAGCAAGCGCGTTTATTCAATACACTTATTTTAAACCACAATATGTCTGAAACGAGTTGTCATTTTAACACTAAATTGATGAAAATAGATATAACAGTGATTTTGGAATATCCTACTTATTTAGTGTAATTTAATACTCGAAGTATGCTTGCCAAAAAGGTCAAAAAGATCACATACGCACACAGTAAGTGTCGTTTGAAATATACTTTAGCTAAAATAACAACTTGAACAAGAATACCAACAATGGGGTCACGAAAACAGTCAAAATTGCGCCCAAATTTGCATAAACAGTTCGTCTAAAAAGATAACTTTAAACTAGATTCAACCAACATTAATGCGGTCGAATTTTGTGAGTGTTTGATCGCATATTTCTACTCAAAAATACCCTTTAAAAAATCGTATCTGCTCACTTGAGTTCCGTGTTCATCTTTCTTGTGATTTCCGACTTCTATTTTTAATAAAGTTTGGAGAAATCCTCATCTTTTTGGCTGAAAATCCCGCGCAAGGTTCACAGAAGAACTTGGCCCAAAACGTCAATACATTCGCTTTCCTTTCATGCCAAATTTTCGTTGTAAATCATTCAAAAACGTCTTCTTTTTTCTCTTTTAAAACTTGCTGTGAAATCCTTCTTTGCAACAATAATGCCATTATTCATTATTTTTGAAAAACTAAGGTTTTAAACTTGAAAAACTTTGCGAGTTTTTGGCCGATTTTCTTGCATGATACACCGTTGAAAAGCTCGAATTTCGCGTTCTATTTTCGTATCCGTTGCTAGGCAACCCGATAAACACGTGCTCAAATATCATGCCCGCAAGTTGAGGTGTCATTTGAGGGCGTATGCGGGCGCATTGCCAGTTACCCACTTGCCAATCTCAGGGCGCATCCGGGCGCATTGCCAGTTAATGAGTTAAACAGTATTTGCTCATTTTCTTCATTTAAAAAGATTACGCTCGTAATACCATATAATTTGCACACAATGGCGTCCTGAAGTTGAATACTTGATTTACCTTTGTTGAGCTGTGATACACCTAATGATTTTGTCTGTTCAGAAGCTCTTCTCGTTTGGCACAATAAAGTGCACGTTAGGTTTTATTGATTGAGTTACAAATATATTTTATATTACCTAATGAAAACATTGTTGTTAGAGGTCAAAAGCAAGATTCCTTGAGGTGCCACCAATCCAGCTGTTATTGGCCCTGCAGAGAGACCGCTTTCTGTTTGTAAAAGAAACTCTTCCATTCCTGGTGTTATGATTGGGTCGTCTGTCATCACAACGACATTAGTTTGAGTCAAAATTTTTCTTATCATTGCTCTAAATAGGCAAAAAGCATAAGTTGTCAGTGCACCAATATTGCAACTTATAACATTTAAGCGACTAAACGTTTAATGGTTAACCAACTGGAATGAAAACCTTATCATTGTGCTTGAAATTCCATGCATTAAAAATATAACTCTAATTAACTTACACTGATGTTCCTGTTTTATTTTGATCTCCACCAGCTAGCAGTAAAGAATGTTGCGTGCAATTGACAC